CAAATATAATGATGTAAATATAATGATGTAATGAGGAAAAGCCAGTGTTCATAAGGAAACAAAGTTTGAATTAATCAATATTATTAGAAATGGATATCCTTTGGTTTTGATTTTTAAGAATATTAAAAAAAGATTATATTTAAATTAAAGCAACTTAATAAATCTGATCTTAATTTGAATAAAAATATACAAAATAAGTCCAATAATAAGGTGACTTACTTCAATATTTCCTATATACCATCTGATAAATTTAAAAAGATACTTCAAGAATAATCGCTTCATTTTTATACTGGAATTGATAAATTAAGTCATTTTATCAAAGATCAGAAGGATAAATTAGCAGCTTATAATCGCATTGTGATATATAAGATCAATTGTCAGAATTTTGTAATTTTATACGTAGACCAACCGAAACGGTTATTTAAATCGAGAATAATGCTCGTATTCATAGTCAGATCTTATATTTAAGGCTTCCTTAAATTTATCTTCAGATACTCTACGAATTATTTCATTGGCTACTGAGCATCTAAATTTAAAGAAGCCTTAAGTACAAGGTCTGACTATGAATACGGGCATAAGTGAATATCATAATCACATAAATAGAAATACCACATCGCAGTCTGTCACAGAACATAGAATTGAGTACAACCATGAATTTGATTGGAGCAAAATTTTAATTTTGGATGAGAAAAGGAGTTACAATAAGAGATTAATTTCTGAGTCAATTTTGATCAAAAAACAGAAAAATGGATTAAATTTACAAAATGATACGGAATTATTGAACTCTCTATATTATGATTTAGTTGCGGAAGATTAACGTTTCTATGTTTTAAAGTCTTGATTTTTAACTTCGATGAATATTCTTATTTTTGTATATATTTATTTTTATTTTGATATTGTCGGCTCATTTTGTCACTTCGATCTAAACTCTCACACAATACAAATATCTCTCTATAATATCACAACGTAACAGACCATCGTTAATCTGATTCCAAAGTAAGTTTTTAATGATTTGATTAATTTCTAAAACATGCAGTTTGTTTATTTAGCAAAATATAATAGACATTGAAGATTTTAAGTAGTGACAATAAATTAACGATGATTTGGTGATTTGGTGCTTACATATGTATAATTTTTGATTCTACCAACCATTTTATACACTGAGGATGACCCAATACCAGGTTGAAATCTGTATTCTAATTTTAATTTAATATATATATTGTTACACACGAACAACTAGTGATGGCTCACATTGGCTTTTCCTCATCACTATATTTACATTGAGTTTACTTTAAGAGCCTTATATTAATTTAATTTGTTATAATAATTCATCATAATTAAATTAACGCTTTTATTATAAATAAATAATATTCAATCATCTTCATCCTTTTTACGTCTTTTCTTAGATAATATTCGATAACGTCGCCAAATGGAATGTCTTGTTCTCTGAAGAACTTTAGCCAAATCAGCATATTTACGTTTTACTTCAAGAGATGGATTATTTTCTAAATGATCTATTATCATTTCATCTTCTTCAGGTTTAAACCTAATCATTTTTATTTATATTTCATTACTATTGTTATAAATTATACTTAACATTAAAGTTATACTTCAAAATTATATAAAAATATATATAAGATCAAAATCATGTACAATGTGCTGTGCATTAATGACATCCTTTTTTAATGTGGATTATAGTATAAAAATCAAGCAACTTATTCAAGCTTCTAGGTTTTTTGATGCTGCCATTAGCCTAGTGAGTTTGCTCGATTGGATGAGATTGCTGTGATTCTTACACTGATCTACATTTAAAAAAAGACAGCATTTATGTGGATGGCACTGGGATCTATTCTTGAAAAATATCGCATACTAATAATGAGAAAAAATGTGGAAGAACAAATATATTCGTTGGATAGACGATAAAGATGAAAGTGTGAAAGGAAAACATTGTAATAAAATAAATAATATAAGGAACATATCGCGGAAAATGGCATCGACAAAGAAACTTCATCAAGCAGAAACCTTTATAATAACTTTATAAAAAATCTATATCATATGTTATATATTATATTCGAATGTGATATATTCAAGAATATAGATATATATTTATATATAAATACATTTTACTATATATATTACCTTCGTTGAAGGTTGTTCTCATATAAATTTTTAAATCTATGGTAGACACTATATAAAGTTCTCTCTGGTAAACCATTGGCTAAAAATTGTACAAATTTCCGTCTTTCTTTAATATTACGCATGTATGTCAAATTGCCAACTCTTAATTGTAAAAACGGTTTACTTTTATTTACATCCCAATTGTGT